GAAATTATATTATTTTATCACAGTTTAATCAGATCATTATTGATATCAAAAGATAACTAATTACTCACATATATTTTAAAATATCAAAACATGCTCAGGTAACCCATGGGCCAAATAATAAACCAGAGCTGAGTTTAAAAATAGAGGCCCTTGTGGTTCAGTAGTACTGGGCATTAATTAATAACAGATACAATGAAATATAAGAACAGTAGTCTCATTATAGGAATTACACATTTGAATCAAAATAACTTATGAAGCCTAATGAAGGATTATAGTTAATAATTGCTAGGTTTTGGGGGAAAAATTAATAGTTGAGCTTGGAGTTTCCAAAATAAATTGTTTTCTTTTAAAAATTGATCATAGTTTACAATTGATTATCATTTACAATAATCTATTGTATATCTCTAAAAGAGAATAATTCAAATGTTTCTCACATTAAAGACAAATATTGAAGATGATAGATACCGCAATTACACTGAATTGATCTTTACAAATTATATAAAGGTATTAAATTATCACATGTATACTGAAAATATGTATGTCTCATGTATCAATCCTTTAAAATTTTGAAAAATGTTTTAAATTGATCATTTTTTGATGATCAAAGTGATAAAACCAAATACCAGAATGGGAAGATAATTACAAGTACATCGAAGCTAAAGATAGTCTGTAATCCCAGTGCTTTGGGAGCCCAAGAATCGAGATTCACCTGAGGCCAGATGTTGGAGATCAGCCTGAGCAACACAGTAAGAACCTCTCTTTACAAAAAAATTTTAAAATTAGCCAGCTATGGTGGCACACGGCTGTAGTTCCAGCTATTCAAGAGGCTGAGGTGAGACAGTTGCTTGAGCCCAGGAGTTTGAGGTTACAGTGAGCTATGATCAAGTACTCCAGCATGGGTGGTAAGAGCAAGAGCCCCTCTCTTAAAAAAAAAAAAAAAAGAAATTGTGTATGACAACCCAAAATTGATCTAAGTAGACTGTTCTAAATATCAAATTTGGAAACACTTATGACAGATATGACAGGAAAGAAATTAAGAAATTTGGGCAAAGGGTATGAAGAGAGTATTTACAAAGCAAGAAGCAGAAAAAGCTAATAAATAGTTGAAAAAATGTTCAACATCAAATATAATGGGCAGGAGGAGGGGAGCAACACTGAGATAACGGTTTTCATGTCGAATTGTCAGGGTGAAAGAGATTAAAAAACTCATATGTTGGGGTGTGTATACACAGGGTTTATTCAGATATTTTCTCCATATGTCATTCAGCTTGGCTTATGGCCTTTTTGTCTGCCATGCACAAAATTTAATTTTTTATAGTAATATTTTCTAGTTAAATATTTTTTATTGATACATAATAGTTGTACATATTTTGGGTTCTGTATGGTATTTCAATACATGGCATGAAATATCTAATGATCAAATCAGGGTAACTAGGTTATCCATTGCCTTAAATATTTATCTTCTTTCTCTTAGGACTGTTTTAAATTTTCTAGCTATTTGGAAATACACAATAAGCTATTGTTAACTATTGATTCTATTGTGCTATTGATTCTATTGTGCTATTGAACGCTAGACCTTATTCATTCTATCTAACTGTATTTTTGTACCCATTAACCAACTCCTTGTTATCCCCATACTCCTATCCTTCCCGGCCTCTGCTAGTCATCATTCTACTCTGCTTTAATGATCAGCTTTCTTAGCTTTCACGTATTTGTCTTCCTGCTCCTAGCTATGTCACTTAGTTTAATTACCTCCAGTACTACCCATGTTGAAAATGTCAGGATTCCTTTTTTTCAGACAGGGTCTTACTCTGTCAGCCAGCCTGGAGTACAGTGGCATGATCACGGTTCACTGCAGCCTTGATCTTCCAGGCTCAAGTGATTCTTCCACTTCAGCCTCCCAAGTATCTAGGACAATAGGTGTGTGCCACCACACCTGGCTACTGGCTAATTTCTTTTTTATTTTTATAGAGATACACTTCCTGTCTTACCTAGGCTGACTCCAAACTCCTGAGCTCATGTAATTCTCCTGTCTTAGCCTCCCAAAGTATTGGGATTACAGACCAGAGCCACCACACCTGGCCAGGCCAGGATTTTTTTTTTTTTTTTTTTTTTTTTGGCTGACTAACATTCCATTGAGTACATATGCCAGATTTTCTTATTCATTCATCTGTTGATGGACACCTGTCTTGGCTATTGTGAATAGTGCTGCTGTAAACATAGGTGTGCTGATGTCTTTTCAGTATGCTGATTTCCTTTCTTTTGGATATACACCCAGCTATGGGATTGCTGGATAATGTGCTAGATCTATTTTTAGGTTTCTGAGGAGCCTCCATACAGTTTTCTGTGGTGGCCATACTAATTTACATTCCCAGCAGCAGTATTCTCTCCTCCCTGCATTCTCACCAGCATTTGTTATTTTCTGTCTTTTTGATAATAGTCATCTTAACTGGGGTAAGATATCTCATTGTGGTTCTGATTTACATTTCCCAGATGATTAGTGATGTTAAGCATTTTTTTCACATATACTTAGGCCAATTATATGTCTTCTTTTGTGAAATCATTTGCCCATTTTTAAATTGAATTACTTGGCTTTTTGCTATGTATCTGCTATTTGCAGATATTTTCTCTTGTTATGCAAGTTGTCTTTTTACCCTGTTAATAGTTTCCTTTGCTGTGGAGAAGGTTTTTTAGCTTTATGTAATCCCATGTGTCTATTTTTGCTTTCATTGCCTGAGCTCTTGAGGTATTACCCAAAAAAATCTCTGCCCAGACCAATGTCCCAAAGCATTTCTTCAATATTTTCTTCTAGTAGTTTCATAGTTTTGGGTCTTAAATGTTAATTTGATTTCCATATAAAGTAAGAGATAGGGGCATATAGTTCCATCCTTTTATATTTGGAAATCCGGATTTCACAGCATTATTTATTGAAGATCCTATTTTTTCCTCAGTATCTGTTCTCAACATCTTTGTCAAAAGTGAGTTGGCTGTATATGCATTGATTAATTTCTTTGTTATCTATTCTGTTCTTTCGGTCTATGTGTCTGTTTCTATGCTAGTACCATGCTGTTTGGGTTACTACAACTTTAGTGCCTTTTAAATTCTGGTAGTGAGATTCTTCCAGCTTTGTTATTTTGCTTGGGATTGTTTGGGCTATTTGAAATCTTTTGTGGTTTCATATGAATTTTAGAATTTTTTTCTATTTTTGTGAAGAATGTCATTGGTATTTTGATAGGGACTACATTGAATCTGTAGATTGCTTTGGGTAGTATGGACATTTTAACAATATTAAGTCTTTCAGTCCAGGAGCATGGAACAGCTTTTCATTTGTTCGTGTTCTCTTCAGTTTCTTTGATCTTTTTTTTTATAGTTTTCATTGTATAGTAATTGTTTCAATTGTGCAGCTTTTATGAGTTTTGGCTATATTGCTTTTGTGTGCTGTTAACAACTTGACAGCATATTCTGTACTCTTTGATACAGTAATTCTACTTCTAGAAATTTGTCCCAAAGGCAAAAAGTGCTATCTGTACTCAAGATTGTTCCTCGTATCCTTGTTAATATTAGTGAATAACTGAGCAAAGTGCCAGAAAAAGAGGACTTGTTAAAAAGCTTATGTGTATATATAGACAGATACACACACATACACAGACATGTTATTTATATGTATACAATTTAAGGAATTATGCAGTACATGAATAACCATTAAAGTAATATATGGATTAATATTTACATAGAAAGAAATGCATGATATTACTAAGTGAAAAAAAGCAGTATATATCCCTTTTATGTAAACTTGCATGTGTACCTATCAGTTGTAAGGAGCAACTTGTTTATGGTTGCACAGGCAGTAGTGGTCTGAGGCAGCTGTGCTGTAAAATTAAAAGCACTGAAATGGATTGGGGGGCTTGAGTTTTACTCATTGTTTTGCTAACTGTGCACCTCTTGACATACCTTTTCATACCTCTGGTCTTCCTGGATGCCCTCCTCTCTAAAAATGAGGAAAGGAATGGGCATTTCACTTTATTAGCAGTGACAGATACACCATATGCCTGTCACATCACTCTTCTGCAGGCGTGGTAGACGTCGGAAGTCAGTCTTAGTGTTCTTTCTCTGGGCTCACTCATGTTCTAGAATTCTTCTCAACACACAGTTTTAGGCCACTGTTTCTAAGCAAATTGTACCTTATATGAAAAACTTCTTTGCTGTCCTTGAAAGAGGATCTTAGATATTCTTTCAGCTAAAAGATTTCTGTAATATGAATACAAAATTATTGTGACAAGAACTAACAGAGAATGCTTTTCGATAAATAATTTTTTAATTTTCTAGTATCCACATTTTTTAAAAAAAGTAAAAAGGTAAAAAGCAACAAGTGAAATAAGTGTTGATAACATTTTATTAAATAAAATATTTTAACATGTAGCTGGTATAAAACAATGATTAATAAGATATTTTACCTTTTCATTTTTGCATACAAAATCTTTGAAATCCAGTGTTTATTTGAAGCACATCCCATTTCAGCTGATAAATTGTCATTGTAAATACTTGCTCTGTATTTAAATTTACAATTTAAAAAGCAGATCCTCAAACCCATCTTAAGTTTTCTAATAATTGAATTGAGTGTTCTTATGCTTAAATAAAAATAAAAATTGAGATGTCACCTTTCAAGTATCTGGTAGCACATATATTCAGTGACCATATGCAGATCAGTAGAAGGTTGGGGGATACAAAAACTTTTTCTAACTTTAACCCATCAAAGAGATTTTCCAGTTGGGAAAGAAAGATATCAAAAATAAGCATATCAAGAATATAACCCAATATAATATAATTAAGTGCTAGAAGTTTGCCATGGACAGACAAAGTGCTACTTGAGAAGGAAGTTCCAGATACACCACAGCTGGGTACTTTCTTCACCACTCGGAAGTCTGAGTAGTGGCAATGATGCGCTGACTTTGTGAGAATGGAGTGTCTTACTTTAGAAAGTATGTGTGTTCTGCCTGCAGGCACGGGACTCGCTGTGCTGGTGAAGTGGCAGCCGCTGCAAACAACTCACACTGCACAGTCGGAATTGCTTTCAACGCCAAGATCGGAGGTATGGGAAACAAACTTACAAGCATATAGAAATGTGCCAGTTAAAAAAATCTGGAGACAGCAGATGCTGGAGAGGATGTGGAGAAATAGGAACACTTTTACACTGTCGGTGGGAGTGTGAATTAGTTCAACCATTAGGGAAAACAGTGTGGTGATTCCTCGGGGACCTAGAAATAGAAATTCCATTTGACCCAGCAATCCCATTATGGGTATATATCCAAAGGATTATAAATTTTTCTATTATAAAGACACATGCACACCTATGTTCATTGAGGCACCGTTTACAATAGCAAAGACCTGGAACCAACCCAAATGCACATCAATGATAGACTGGACAAGGAAAATGTGGCACATATATACCATGGAATACTATGCAGCCCTAAAAAACGATGAGTTTTTGTCCTTTGTAGGGACATGGATGAACCTGGAAACCGTCATTCTCAGGAAACTGACACAAGAACAGAAAAACACCACATGTTCTCACTCATAGGCGGGTGTTGAACAATGAGAACACAGGGACACAGGGAGGGAAGCATCACACACTGGGATCTGTTGCGGAGGACTAGGGGAGGGACTATGGGGGATAGGGAGTTGGGGAGGGATAACATGGGGAGAAATGCCAGATATAGGAGACAGGGATGGAGGCAGGAAACCACATTGCCATGTATGTACCTATGCAACAATTCTACATGTTCTGCACATGTACCCCAGAACCTAAAGTGCAATAAAATATATTTTTAAAAATAAAAAAATTTTTTTTTAAAAAGGGAGCCAGTTAGCTCTTTGGCTGACAGGCTTTCAGAATCCTTTTTAAATGGAGGTAAAATGGTGGGGCATATCTTTATGTAATAGTATTTAACTATTGCTGGCCCCAACATGACCATTTTAGCATGCTCTGCTAAATATATTTAGTTAAAGACTTCTGAAGCAGTAACCCTAAAATAATGTAAACAGTTTTCTTTTAAACAGACTTGAAAAAATGTAATCTCGTAGTGAAAATTGACATCTGTACCAAAATGCTACAATTGGAGCCCGGGTCAGAAAGAACTGATATTATAAACATTAGGCCATAATATCTCTATGGAGAGAAGCATTTTGTAATTCTCTCAAAGTAGAAAATACTGGTTTTGTTTCTGTTTTTTGTTTTCTTTAGGCTTAGGCTTTTAAAGTTTCCTTTCATTGTAATTAAAATGATAAACGGCAAAAATATCCTTTTGTAATCCCATAATGCAGTGATACTATTTCCATGAATGATTCAGATTATGTCTATACACAGGCACATATATGTACAAACTCAGTTATACATATACTTACTATAAGGACCCAGCCAAAGCAGTGCAAATTTAAGCATTGATAAAAGCAAATTCTTAACTTTCCCATTTGTAATAATCTTTGTAAGCAACAGCCTGGTGCCACAGCCACACGCACATGGGAAGAAGACATTGTCATAGATTTTATGGATCCTCATGAATTTATCATTATATCTGAAGGTGTTCTTTAGGATCCCCTATGGGTGTCTTAAGATAAATGAAGCTCCTGGAACTAGGTTGACCTCCTTGTTTCCAATGCACTATTTGTTTTCAAGTGGGCAAGAGTTGTGGAACTAAAAAACAAAAATGGCAATTCTTTCTAGGATAGGAATATAAATATATAGTTTCCCTAACATGAGATATTTAATGTAGACAATAATAGAAATAAGGCTTTCTGAAACTACTTTGAATTTCAGTCCACAGTACATTGCCTCTTTCTTTCCTTTTTCTCTCCCTGAATTCTTAGGAGTATGATTGTTTGTTAAGCCGTAATTAATTAGCAGGGAGCATCTGCTATTTATTAAGTGCAATGCATATGAAAGAGCTAAAGAAAAGAGGCAAAGAAAAAATTCTCCATTCCCCGAAGAATGATAAGAATTCTGGAGGCCCCTCATCGTCCCAGGAGAGATCAGAAGCTGCCAGGTCAGCCCTTCTCATGGTCCATGATATAGTTTCTTGCATACACAGACACACAGCCCCAGGTTCTCATCATTACTCTCCAGCACAAACTCAGAAATCTTAATAATTTTGAAAGAATGAGGGGATGAACTTGTGAACTCACAGATAAACCAGTGACCTAGCTTACAGAACTGTATTTTTTAGAAGAAGAATGTATGGCAATGACTCAAAAATGTTCTAAAACAAGAACATTCTGAATAATAAATTTAACCCTAGACCCAAGGCATGAAGGCTTAGAGTTAAATGAGAAAAAAGAAGCAGCGTTTTACCTTTAAACTTGACAAACTAAAATAATTCCTTTTTGTGAAATTTCTCTTAGAAAATTAACATCCTCTTAGTATGATTTACAAGCATTTTTTTTGTGAACTTCACATCAATTGCATGACATTAACATAGAAACTGAATTTAGGTGTTATATCCTACTGTTATGTTGGCATTTAGAAGACTAGAGACCTTATTTGTGGCAATTACTGTGTTTATTTCAGACCTCATTGTACCAATAACATAGGTTCATTTTATGCTTTTCACAAAAGCATTAAACAAGATGGAGTAGTTCATCTGTCTTTGCTAAAAAAAAAAAAAAAAAACCATGCAGATGAATTTTGAATGTTCAAATTGAATGAAAATAAACCAGTGGTTACTCAGGATGCAGTACATCGAGAGCATCATATAGGGTTTTTCACTCACACAGAAGAAACCATTGACAAACTTTCCAATTTTCATTGCAAAATTTTTAATGGAACTTGTTCATAACCTTCATTCTCCACCTCTCTTGTTAATACACATCTCCATTAAAAATTCAAAAGTCTAGAAGAAAGAGAGTTGAGAGATGTTAACAACCAAATGCAATGTCTTCAGAGATACATGGGGTGAAATGGAATGTTGGGTAGATGTTAGATAACAATGGGGACTTATTTCCCTATTTTTTGTAAAAAATTTTAAAGGATGAAAGATCATATCAGTCATGGAATTCAAAATGGTTTAACCTAATATTTGTATTTTGCACTAGGAAAGTGAGATAAAATGTTAACAGTTATTGAGTAGTGGCTACATATGTATGTTCATTGTTCATTCTTTCTGTTTTTCTTTGTTTGCAAGTTTAATAGTTAAAAGTTAAACGTTTTTAATGCACAAAGAAGATAGTTTCCTTAAGAATATTTTTATTTCTACCAGTATTCCCACCTCGTTTCACGTAGACTCTATCTAAAGCTGTTTGATTTGGGGTTTTATTACTTAATCCCCATTTGTTGGTAACCAATAAAAACTTAAAATCCTACTGATGATAAGGTTTACCTGAGGATTAAATCTAGCCTGTAAAAATATAATTTTTAAATGATACAGTATTTCAGTAATGGTAGAGCCTCCAAAATAAAAGGAAAAATGGAAAGCCTGACATTTTCATAGAATTTATTTCTGAATATCTTAGTATCTCTTTTTGCAAAATAGGGTTAATAGTAAATTCCTGTTTGATAGAAGTATACTTCAATGAAGATTGATAACTAAACATCTAAAACCCTTTGAGAATTCTTCGAAATGTTACATCCACAGAGGTTATTCTCATTTATTATTTAACATAAATAACTGAGCAAAAAAAGAAGCATTAAGTTTACATCAATCTATGATTAGGGGCTAATATTAAATATGAAGGACACAAGACCATTCTACCTTGGCAGCTTTCCAAATAGTATATGACTGCTGAAGTTAGATAAAATGTTTTATACCCATTATGAACACAAGTTATTCCGTGAAAAGTTTAAGGAAGATGGACTGCTCAAAGATCTCTTTGTCAGGTACTCATGCAGGAGAAGGATGAGAAGGTAGAAACTGTGGCAGCTGCTTTAAGAACTGGAACCTTAGGAAAAGCAAATGATGGATTAAAAAAATTATTTTTGCTCTTTTATATGCAATGTGACATCCTTTCTCCCCAAGATACTGCTGCAAAGTATACATTATCCTTTTGCAAGGGGAAGATATGATCACTTAAGTGTTGATTAAAAACGTATTATTGACCGGGCGCGGTGGCTCAAGCCTGTAATCCCAGCACTTTGGGAGGCCGAGGCGGGTGGATCATGAAGTCAAGAGATCAAGACCATCCTGGTCCAACATGGTGAAACCCCGTCTCTACTAAAAGTACAAAAAATTAGCTGGGCATAATGGAGCGTTCCTGTAATCCCAGCTACTCAGGAGGCTGAGAGGCAGGAGAATTGCCTGAACCCAGGAGGCAGAGGTTGCGGTGAGCCAAGATCACACCATTGCACTCCAGCCTGGGTAACAAGAGCGAAACTCCGTCTCAAAAAACAAACAAACAAACAAAATGTATTATTTCCCCTGAGAAGCCTACAGCTCTGTTATTTGAGTGTTGTGGAGTGAAGCCCCTGTAATGAGCTAGTTCTCCTTTCTGTGTTGAAGGAGTACGAATGCTGGACGGAGATGTCACGGACATGGTAGAAGCAAAATCAGTTAGCTTCAACCCCCAGCACGTTCATATTTACAGTGCCAGCTGGGGCCCAGATGATGATGGCAAGACTGTGGATGGACCAGCCCCCCTCACCCGGCAAGCCTTTGAAAACGGCGTTAGAATGGTAGGTTTTCAAAGCATGGAGGCTTATACTATGTGGATGGGTGATGATTCTCATACGAATAATCTATGGGTTTCTAGCTGCCGTCGAGAGACTTGGATGGAGCTTTTAGGCTGAGCCAGCAGTAGGCTAATGGAAAGAGGTGGTGAACATTTGGGATTGTGAGTTATTTCTGTTCTGCCAATGAACTAAGAGCTAGAGAGTTTCTTCTGAAAAGAACAGAGGTATATTACAGTGCTTAAATTCTTTCAAAGGAAAGACATTAATACATTAATCTTGCATTAGGAGAAATAAATTCTTAGGACTGTGAAACTGAGTGAAGATATTTAACACTCTCCAGGTAGTGTTAATAGATGCCCCTCAGGGCATCTCCCTTTTTTAAGTAGTTTCCCTAGTCTCTCTCACCTCTGACAGAGTATTATTTGTGTTCTAGCTCCGGATCTCTACTACCACATTGTAGAGATAATGCATTGTTATTTTCCTTAATTATACCAAAAAATTGACCACTCTCCCCCCAGAAACTTACCATACAATCTAATGTAATAAAATGTCTATTTCAAATTGTAGATCTTGAGAAATCCTGTCTTATTGAAATTAAATTTAAAATATAAAGATTCTAATCTTTGTAATCATGAAAGGAGGAGAGCTCCACCAGAAGTAATGTCTTTTTCTTATTCATAAATAGACCTTTGGGTGATTTAAAACATACATTTAGTCTTGTTCATTTAAGGCCATTATGACTCTGGCCTAGCCGCCTCCTTCCTCCACTTTTCTTTTACTCCTTATAATGTAGATGTGCTGCACTCCTATCCATAAGCACAGGCTGCTTTCCTTGTTCTTCCTGCATAGCTCTGTGCCCCATCCCCAAGTCCTACCACTGTAAGCCAAATGCTGTTTGACCATCAAGCCCCAGCTAGAAAAAGTTTACTTCTTCCCAGAAGCCTTCTCACTGCCCAAACTAGAATTAAATATAAGCAGCCCCTACCTATGCTTAGTATTCTTACTGGTATTACATAGAGTTCTTATCATACTGTGTTTTATATCAGAGTGAGTTCTGGGTCTGTCTTCCTTACTAAATTGCAAGTTCCTAGAGAGCTGTACTTGTGCCCTGCACAGCTCTATGGGCTTTGCAAAACCTAGACAGTGCATTGAATTCTATTGAGTATTCAATAAAAGTTATTGAATCAAATTTAATTTACTAAAAATGATGCTAACCACAGGGTTGTTAAATATCTAGCTCAGATATTTACAGTGGAATGCATTGTTGATTAATATAATGTTGCCACTGGAGTAAAAATAATAATGATTTCCCACATCTTTGTGGGATTTTGTTAGGGTTTTAATAGAAGGCTGAGCTAAGCTCTCTTCTAATTATTCCGAAATAGACTCGAGGAGAAAATGATATGCTTATTTTGTAGGTATTTCCTAGCTGAATGATAGTTCAGGTTTGGTTAAGACATTCACTTTTTTAGCTCTGTCAATTTTCAGCCCCCTATATTAGAGGCTTTTAAACCATAGGATAAGGTTTTAACTCATTGTCTACAAGTTTCTTTCAAGATACCTAACAGCAAATGAATATATTCTGTGTAATCTGGTGATTTCATGACTGAAGCCATGGACTAAAAATTGCTGTTATCTCTCTCTCTGTTTTCAGTAGAATGATCATTTAAATTAAGTAAACCAAGCTTTGTTCATATTTAATCATGAAATTGTACGTTTATGGCTCTCATAATGAAGAGCACTCTGGGCTTTCTCATTAATCTGAAAATACTTAAATTACTAATACACATAACTTCATGAATGAGAATATAGATATGTGTGTGTGTTAGAACTCAGAATATATATATATGTATAAAGAATGCCCATATTCAATAGCTAGTTTTATTGACAGGCTAGTACATGTGTCATTGAATCAGAAGACATGAACCAACAATTTTCAAATTTATTTTTGCTGGGGAATCTTTTGTTCAATGGAAATCTTAACTGGCAGCTTAGTGTGTAAAAAATTTAAAATGTGGTGCTTAGGTTAAAAGAAGAGGAAAAAGGGGTTAAGATTAGAAATAAAATCATCTGAGAAAATTATTCAAATACATAGAAAGGTTATATTTAGAAATAATTTGGAGAAAATTTATACTCATTATTAATTATGAAAGTAACCTATGCCTATTGTAACAGATTATACACAAATGAGTGTACAGATGAACTTAATAACAGATTTCTCCACCCAACTGAGTAACCACTGTTAAGAGTATAGGCTACACGTTTCTATACTCTTGTGCATATTAACATGCAAACAGGGATTCTATACTTCCACACATTACTATTTGCACATAATGGTCTACCATGGGCATCCTTCCAGGGCAACCCCTAAGAATAGAACTCATTTATTTTATTTGTTTCAAATTTTTTAGAGTATACCATAATTAATTCAACATTCCATTGAAAATGTTTCAACGTTTGACTTAGGGAAAAAAAAGGAATTCAGTTTTAAACCAAACCATTTGTTTTTAGAGTGGAGGTAGTAACAAAAGAAAAACTATCAATAAGAATAAATTGTTTTTTGGTTCATAGCACTGCACATCTAAATATGGAAAAACAGTGGTGATGCATTTAAATGTGATGATGTCAACAAGATACTGTTTTCAGGTGTTTAATATAAACAGGCTTTCAGATTAGGCTAGGATTGAGCCCAATATTTGCCATTTCCTTCTCTCTAACCTTGTATAGATCAAATTACCTCTCTGCTTCCATTATCTCATATAAGTTAAGGCACTAACAGCATTCACAGAGATGTAATAAGTGTGAAATGAGATGATAATGCATATAAAGCAACTAGTATAATACCTGAAATATAAATGCATTTTATTTTTCACAGAAAAGATATGTCCTTCTACAAAACTTTGAATTTTTCCTAGCCCATCATCCTTCTCTCCTATGCTATTTCCATATTGCAGAGTTCCAGATGATTCCATTAAGTTACGTTTTGGGGTAGATTAAAAATAATACGATGCAGGCCAGGTGCAGTAGTTCACACTTGTAATCCCAGCACTTTGTGAGGCCAAGGAGGGTGGATTACTGAAGGTCAGGAGTTTGAGACCAGCCTGGCCAACATGGTAAAACCCCATCTCTACTACTAAAAAATACAAAAATTAGCAAGGCGTGGTTGCAGGCACCTGTAATCTTGGCTATTCAGGAGGCTGAGGCAGGAGAATCACTTGAGAGGTTGCAGTGAGCCGAGATTGCACCACTGTACTTCAGCCTGGGTGACAGAATGAGACTCTGTCTCAATAAAACATGATAGTATGATGCAAGTCAACATAGCCTTCCTGAGCTCTGTAGTGTCATTTATTTTGTTCTTTCTATGTCTGTACACACCTTCAATTTCACTTGCCTTTAAAAGCATACCTTCAATTTCAGTGAAATAACCTCTGGATATATAAATTCTGTCTAGTTATCCATGTTTGTAGCCCTGCATTTTGTTTTTGTTTTCCCAAAGGATGTTTCTCTAAATATCTATTAATATATAATTTAATATTTTAAGCAGTATATTTCTCTTTCCCAGATTAAAGAAATCTTTACTTTGTTTTGAGGCATCAGGTGAGAAGTAAACTTTATATTTGATAGTATTCTCATTTATATTTTTGTATCATACACATTATCAAAAACAAAGAAAACAATAAAAACAATACAATATTAGATTATAGGGTATAACAAAGAAATACATAAGTGATTTACTGGCTGAATTACTTAAGAAATGAAGAAATAAATAACTGATAAAATAATTCCTTCAGTTAGCTAGCTGAAAACCTACGCAGCAGCCTAACATCACTTTGGCCTATTGGGGTTTTAACCATGTCACCTACAAAAGTGTAAGAATTGGAATTTATTTGTTCATGATATTAAATTTATTGAGGTCCCACTTTCTATATACTGTAGATAAAGGGGTGAAAAAGACATCTGCATTTTGTATGTAATACATAAAAGTTCCTACATTCTAGCAACGAGATAGGAAACAAGGATAGAAACAATCAAGACTACTTCAGCTGAGGATAAGTGTATGAATGAAAGTAAACTGATTTCTGCTGAAGGAAAGCACAACAGCCTTAGTTAGGGAGGACAGAACATCTTCTTTGAGGAGGTGATATTTGAACAGGGACATAAATGGTAACAAGCCAGTCATATGAAGAACTATAATATGCAGAAGGAACAGAAAGAGCAAAGAACCGCAGGTAGGGAAAGATTTAGATGTATTTCTGGAACACAGTACTAATTTAGGTGTTGGGAGCAAGGTGGAACAGAAAAAGGGCAGAGGGAGATGTGTTGGAGGGGAAGGCAGGGGCCAGCTCAGCAGGGCTTTCTAAATCATGGCAGGCGTGTTCTGTTACAGTAAACCATGAGAGACTTTAAACAGAGTTGTGGCCTGACCTTATGCAATTTTTAAAAATCACTGCTGTGTAAACAGCAACTGTATGTGGGGTGACAGATGAAGAGGCAAGACTGGAAGATTGAAGTGGTCCGGGAGAATGCTGAACCAGGGTAGCAACAGCATCAAAGACCACAGAAAAGATGAGGCACCAGTAGAGAAGCCTAAGTCTCAAGAGAGATTTTCACAGAGGAAAAAATACATTTTGCTCAGGGAGTCCACGTACTGATTGCATCCATTCTTTCTGCAAGCTATTCAAAAATGTAGCAAATATTGAATTCCACACTGTTTCCTATTTGTTTACTGTAAGATAGAATTTGGCTCAAAGAATGTAATACTGTTTTCAAATACTTTAACAAAATCAGAATTGATTCAGTTTACAGACCTTTTAGAACTAATGTGACAAAATTATATTAGAGAAACTATGTTAAACAAACTGTGTCACAGTTGACAACTTGCTCTTTCTCCTAAGGAATGTATTTTATTTGATGCTAAGTAGCTATAAAATTAAGAGCAAGAGTTAGAGTTATATAATTTGAGCTGCATACAAGTCATAATAATAGCAACATGAACATTTAAC